GCATTGCACAGCTCACCTTACTCTGCTTCTTCGCATTTTTGTCTTCATTGCCGTCTTCGGACGCATCAGACAAATCGCTGTCTCCGTCATCTTTGTCCTTCTTTCCCTTATCCTCGCCTTTCTCCTCGTCGCTATCCTGGGAATCGCTCTCCTGAGATGCTTTCTTATCCTTTCCACGTTTCTCTTTATCATCATCGGCTGTTTTTTTCTTACTGACCGGTTTGCCGCTTTGCGTGGCTAATTTTTTTTGGGGGCCCTTCTTGTCCTCGCTGTCGTCCCCCTCGCTACCACTCGCTCTTTTTTTCCCTCTTTGAGAACTCTTTTCCCCCTCACTGCCAGTCTCCTTCTTTGATCCTTTTTTAACGGTGCTCTTGTCATCCTCGTCTGTCTCACTATCGCTCTCTTCCTCGCTGTCACTGGTCTTCTTTGATGATGCAGGCTTGACCGCATGGTCTTCCTCCTCCTCGCTGTCACTGTCTTTGGCTGGACTCTCTTCCTCGCTGTCGCTCTGTTTCATGGACACGGCCTTTTTTGACGTCTTCGTGGCCGGACTTTCTCCTTTGCTGTCGCTCTGTTTCTTTGACACGGCCTTCCTTGGCATCTTCTTGGCCGGACTCTCTTCTTCCTCCTCGCTGTCACTGTCTTTGGCCGGACTCTCTTCCTCGCTGTCGCTCTGTTTCTTGGACACGGCCTTTTTTGACGTCTTCGTGGCCGGACTTTCTCCTTTGCTGTCGCTCTGTTTCTTTGACACGGCCTTCCTTGGCATCTTCTTGGCCGGACTCTCTTCTTCCTCCTCGCTGTCGCTCTGTTTCTTTGACACGGCCTTCCTTGGCATCTTCTTGGCCGGACTCTCTTCTTTCTTCTTGCTATTATTCGGTTTCTTTGAGGCGGTCTTCTTTATTTTCCTCTTGGGAGAACACCACTCCTCCTCACTGTCGATCTCTTTCTTTGACATGGCCATCTTTGGGTTCCTTTTGGCCGCACTGCCCGCCATGTTTTTTGCTTTAAGTGCGTTTGCTTTCTTTAGTGCGGTCGTCTTCATCCTTCTCTTGGTTGGACTCGCCTCCTCACTATCGCTCTCTCTTTTCTGTCCACCTTTTGTTTTCTTCGCTCCAAGATCCTCTTCATCGCTGTCTTTCTTACCCTTCCCCTTCATCTCTCTCTTGATGGTGCTCTCCTCTTCTTCTTCTTCACTTTCACTGTCAGTTTCTTGCTTCCCCGGTCTCTTCCCTGACTTGGCAGCAGCTTGTTTGGGCTTTTGTTTGGTGCCGCCCTTTTTCTGCGGCTCATTCCCGCCATCTGTGGACCTCTCATTCCTCTTTGCTTGTAAGTTCTTGAGGTTGGAAAGTGTCATTTCTTCCTCGCTGTCAGAATCTTCACTCTGCACCCCCTTCTTATGCTTCGCTCCATCGCTGTCTGAGTCCAGAGACTTCTTTTTGTTTTCACGGAGGTCTTCATCCTCACTATCCGATTCCACGTCCAGCTTCTTCTTGGGTGCAGCAGTCTCCTCGTCGCTGCTCAATTCAGAGTCCTTAACCTTTCCCGCACCTTTTCTTGCCGATGGCTTTAGCGGCCCGGTTTTCTGTTTTACCTTACTCTTGCTCGTTGTGTCTTCTTCAGGCAGGACCTCTTGGACATCACTGTCACTGCCTTCCCTTTGTCTTGCTTGTTCCTGTTTCTGTGGGGTCTCTTTCTTGGTCCCTTTCCCCGTTTTGGAAGTTGGAGCTTCTGGGGAACTGCTGGACAATCTCTTGACTTCTCTCTGCTCGATCCCGGAGTCCTCTTCTGACTCGATGTCTGAAAAGAAGAAAATAAAATTCATGCAGGGTCAATGCATTCGTTCTAGTGCCTCTCTACATAAAAATGGTGCTATTGGAGCGATGGACCAGAAACTTGGAGAGTTATTTAATGATCGATTTTCATATAAATATTGCTCTTCTCCTTATGACAGATGACACCCACCATCTAGTGGTTTCCTCCTCTTCCCAGGCGGCTCCTTGCTCCCCGCTACAGCGTCTCCGCTGTCTTGCCGCGCTCTCTTCTTCACTTTAATCAGAGGCTCATCGTCACTGGCATCCTCCTCCTGCGGGAGATGGAATAAGAGGGGAGAGAGAAGGTCATCAAATGATGCAAGCAGGTCTACTGTATGCCGGGGGGG